CGTGACTGCGTGGACTGTGAATAAGTGCGAGGTGTCAATTTAGGTCACTTGGTGGGTTCAAGTCAGGACTTATTAGGTTAGGCCTAGATGAATTTAAGTCATGTTAGATTATTGTGTTAATGTAAGTTGAATTTTAGACTGGATTACTTTTCAGTTAGGTCAAGTTAATAGATCAGTTTTTAATACATTTGTCTGTGATATTCAATACTTCATATTCATATACTATACTAATGTGCTATCTAATATACATACGTTTTTCAACACATCAATAATAATTTAATTATCTTTGACTTAAAATGGTTAAAATAATTGTTTTATAGTGTTAATAGTCAAAATAGATCGACTAATAAAAAATGGAAGGTTTTTTTTTTTTTCTTTTCTTTTTTCTATGCAACCGAAGATTACAACTTTAGTTATGGGCGTTTACTGTTAGAGAAGGATGCAGGCTTTTTATACGAGGAAGTTGTTGTTACTGACCTTAACGATGTGTTAGGCTTCCATTGGACCATTAACTCCACTCCTACCCTTAATTTTATAAGATGCTAAACTGGATCACATTGAAGTTAATAGTACAAAAATATATATATACTACTATAATCTTAATGGATTTTGCACCAAAAAGTAAGTCTTAGTGGAATTTTTTATTATTTATTAAAATATGAACTAAATTGTATATCCTTCCTATTCATGTTTTGTGATTTTTTTTAAACTAAAGCTTATGTTTATAATATGATGAGAATCGTAAACAAACAAAACAAGGTCCTTAACCCTATTTTTGTTGAAGATTAGGTCACAATTATTGCCTTAACTATATTACAGCTAGCTAGCTTTGCTTTTAAGTGCACCAGTCCAATCCATGGCATGAGGAATATGTAGTCTACTTCATAGGTTGTAGAATAGTATATTTCATACTTCGTATATAGTTGTATCTTTTTAGCTTGCTTGGTGTAATTGGTGATGAGGAAATCACATTGTAACCTTGAGGTTACAAAATTTAATCTTCTCAGCTAATTATGGTACTTAGTGGTGACGATCCCTTATCCTGGCCTGCGCCCTCACTTTATTTTAAGTGCCTAGCACATAAATACTAAATAAAAAAAATCCAGCTACTGTGTAATTATTGTAAGTACGTGCTCGCAATTCTCTTATATGCTTGAGCCTTGAGGTGTACATGCCAACACAATTACATGCTTAATTACACATGTTTGTTGCCGCACAGAATCTGGATGCTGCCTTGCAAAAATTCTCTTTGTATGTAGTAATGTAACAGAAAAATAAGTCGTCGAACAAATAAACTCAAAGAAAGTGAACTTTGAAGGTGCGAACTTGTGATTTAATCAGCTGAAAAAAGGCTGTTAGCATCAATGGGCCATAATCAATTAGATGGATGAGGTGATTGAGGTCCAACAACATTTTTTTAGCTCACAAATATAATGGGCCATATTCAGTTTAATGAATGAGGTCCAATAATATTATTTCAGCCCACAATTTGCTTGGTGAAACCACCAAGCTTAATGTTTTAATTGCATGGCCCAATGTGCAAAAACACTATTTTTTTCAAAGTGAAACAGAAACCAAATTAGCATTATGATGTCAATTTACCCACTTGATTATGAAAATTTCGAAATATAATGGACAAACTTAAGATTTTGATTGGAAATTTCTGCATATTTTTAATATTTGACCCCAATAAATATTTATAAATTTTACTTTGCTCTATTAATCAATGGACAATTTGTAAAAAAAAAAAAAAAAAATTTAAAAAAGTAAAAATAAAAATCCCTTACTACATAGAGAGAAGAATTTATAATATTTTAAGTATAAAAATTGAATACAGTGAATATCAACAAGCTTAGTTGGTTAAAGTCGTAAGAAATGATAGCTAAGACCTGTGATCAAATCCCTTTTACATCTTTGCTCTTACGACTTTCTTTACACAAACACACACACACACAAAAAGTACAGGCATAACTTCAGATCACAATTTCTTATTAATAATTGGGGAACATAATAGTTACTTCCATATTGAATGACAAGTTGATAAGAAGATAGTGTTCATTCTAAAATGAGTTGATGAAGTATTATTCATTTATTCTGATCTACAAGAACAAGGTTAACGTACAGTAAGGGTCCCACCGCAGCTTCACATGCAGTTGTAATCTAAATATGGAGGAAAAAGCTAGGGTGCTTCAATTCATCATCTCAGACCATCCTTTAATTCACGAGTATTTTTTTTTTTTCTTTTGAGGAAATTAATTCACGAGTATTGCTGCACGTGATTATCAATCTTTTTATACCTGTCTTAGCTATTCTTCAATGTTTTTTGTTCTCCCTAATTAATTATTTGTTGAGGAACTATACTTGTATATACTAGTATATAAATTGAAATATTTGTCATATTTATTTATTTATTTATGTGAAAGTCAATAGTATACAATATAGCTTAATAATAAGATTGCTCACTTAGCATATCTAGATATTTAGGTTTTATGAAATACTTTAATCAGAATTATTTATCATATTGTCTCCTTACGCTCAAAGTGAAGGAAGAGTTCCTAAATATATAAACAATAAGCGTAAATTCTATATTTTTAAACATAAACAACAAGCCAGACATTATATTGAAAATTATTTGTATGTTGTTTTTTTTTTGGGTGTTGATTGAAAAAAAGAATGTCCTTTTTCCTTTTTAGAGAAAGACATTGTCACCGACGGTAGAATTATCAAAACACAAATAAAAGACCATCAAATCTTAAAATGTTGGAATAGAGGAATGTACTTGGTAGGTGAAATGGTGTTTGTGAGGTTTGTATGAAGCTTCGCATCAAATCTTCTATAAATGTTTTAACGCGGCTGGTTGATATCTATTATTCCCATACTTTGTCTACCCACAAAAGGGAGCCCTATCTAAACTCCCTGTTTTTTGGTATCACACATGGAGTGCGGAGTACTGAGTACTAATCATTCAGTGATTCAAATGCGACTCATTCGAGTAATTTATCTCTATATATCAATAAGATATGAATTACGGAGTATTAAATGTTGAATGTCTAATTTATATGTGGAGAATTTTATATATGAATATTGATGTATGCAACCCATTCAACGGTTGTATAAAAAGAACTTTAATTGTTACACTTATTAATTTGATGTAATCAATGTTTAATTTAACGAAATATTTACTCTTAGCTTCTTATAATCATACGAGCCCAACAAAAGGACAATATTTTTAATTTTGTTTTCTTTCTCAACTTTCTGCGTTAATAAGTTCGATCTCTCAACCACAATAATGTAAAAAATAAAGGTTGCATATACACTTTTAGAATAAATAAAAGTTTTGGTATCACGGGAAGAAGGTATTAAAAAAAAAAAAAAACTTAGCTTAGGAAGAAACAAGTGTATGACTTTAATAATTGATATAACAAAAGAAAGAGTATAACTCACCCTTCACCTAAAATAAATGCGAATAAAAAGTAAATATTCTGATGTTCCCCATTATGATCGCACACCGCCAATATGAATATCCTTCTTTCTTTCTTCTACATTTTTTTCCCAATCAATTTTCACGTCTTAATTGTGGTAGCTATACTTCTTTATTCACGTCAACATTCATGGTACGTACGTACTAGTGTATATGTGTTGCTATATTCCTATATAACATAACCATTTTACCTAAGTGATGTTAACATCATATACGCTACTAATCAAGTTGTTCGATGTCCGTGAAGGAGAAATAAATATGTATCAATTTTTTATTTTTTTTTATCATATATGCATTACAAATTAAACTAATGATGGATCTTGGACAAAAGTAATTAAGGTCAATATTTGAACCTCTAATCTCTTGTCTAAAACTAAGATACTTCGTATTTGACCACTATATCGCTTTTTTTTATCGACATATATAATGTTTGATTGAGTAATAAAACTATTTAATACAATAAAATGTTCAAGAAGAAAGTGAGTGGGAACTAAAAAGATAATCCTTACCAAAGTTTTTTGTACTACCTCCGATTACTTTTATATGCAACTTTGGAATATTTTATATCTCTTAAATAATACTCCAAAGATGCATATAAAAGTAATCAGAGGTAGTATTAAAGATGATATTGAAGTGTTTTAGTAGCATTGAGGGTTGAGAATAGGATTTAGCAGCTTGTAACTCATTGTCCTAAGTAGTAAAAAGAGTATAGGTTAGGACGGAGGTCGTAGCCTTGCTAGAAAAGGAACACTTTATTTAAATCTCGTATGCAAAATACTTTATCCACTCCAACTAAGTTTCAAATTAGATTTATCGTTTAACCGTATCTCAATGGAACAATTTTCTAAGTGGTTCGTGCAACTTAAACGAAAAATTCAAATGTTGTTATAGTTCTTCATACTCAATTTCACTCTTAATCCGAGCTTTCAATCAATAAATTTTGATTATATTTCATGAGGATAAGGAATAACATACAACCTTTCACCAATATTTACCTACTTCAAACTTTGATGTTGTATAGATAGCAAACAAACATCAATTTTTGCAAATTATCAATACTTTACATGTACCGTAATTGTAGATATCAATAATCAAAATGATACACAAGAATCCGTAGATAAAAAAATGTTGCAACTAATTCTAAAACAGTAAAAATATGTAAATACTGCTCAAACAATTAAGGCAAATCTTTTTTGTAACTAGACAAAAACCACACAAATGACAAAAAGAAGAGTAAAATGGGCCCATTAACTTCATAAACAAATAATTTTCTTCCCCAACACAATGGACCCATAGTTGAGTGCAAATTAGGCTCTTATTTGATCTCCTATTTATAACATTTTACTTCCAAAAACCCCACTTCCAACAACAAAAACAGAGCATCCCATTTAAAACCCACATCAAACAACCACATTTCATTTCTCTATCTTCAAAAATCCACAAAAAAAAAAAAAAAATATTTCTAATAAAAAGAATGAGCTCAATCTTAGAACCAAGAACACCCAACAAAAATGTCATAATGAACACAAAAACCACCATTTTTACAACTCCAAAATGGTCTTCTTCTTCAAGAAGAACTCCTTCACTTTCTTCTTCCCCTTCAATTTCCTCAAATTCATCTTCTTCTTTTAGATCTTTCTCCCATGAAGAAGATGATTCTCCACCTCCAACTCCAACACCTCCTCAAAGAATCCCATTTTCATGGGAATCGATCCCAGGAATCCCTAAACATCAAATCATCAAACGACTCGATTCTTCGAGGAAATCGAATTATCTTCCCCTGCCTCCTGCAGCTTCCCCTGTTTCAGGCACTACTAAATCAAGTTACAAAAAACATATTATTAGTAGGAAAGATCCTTTCTTTGCTGCCCTAGTCGAGTGCTCGAAAGACGACGATAACGATAACGACAACGACGACGACAAAGACGTGTTTCGGAGCATTTGGAAAGAGCCTGCTAAGAGTTTAAGTCATAGATTTGGGTTTGTGAATTTGTCATGTAAAAATACTTGTTCTGTTGCTGAGTCTTTGGTTTTTCTTCCAAGAGAACAGCCTAGGAGAATTTCTTACGGTTTGGTTAAAAAACGGTCAGGGTAAAATAAAATTAGTTTTGAGAAATAATCTTGATCTTAGGGGCAAAAAGGTAATTTTACTACTATATTGAGATACCATATTATTACTATTTTGTTACCCTAGGTTATTGTTAAAAATTGCATGGTTTTGCTTAATTGTAAGTTTTTTAATCTCTTTATTTATATTGAGATGTGTGAAAATTGAGAATTCAAGTTCGAAAATGGTATTGTATATATTAAACGGAGTTAGAGTATCACTATCCAATGTGTTTAGTTTTTGTAGATTTCCTCCCTTTAATTAATGTCTTTAGAAGGAAAAATAATTATTATCGATTTCTCAATTCGATGATGGTAATGTTATATGTTCAATGTTTTGTGAGTAGATATGTTATATGTTCAATGTTTGCAAGTAGAAAGCAAATATAGCTAGTCTATGTTATTTATTTGGATCGTTTGTGCTTCAATTTTAGACTTTTGGTATTTTGCATTGTGATCATACACATAGTACGGAGTATGTTATAAAGGAATAAAAAATTCTACAAATTTACACCTGTTATAATTTACAATAAAGATAATAATAATAATACGGAGTATAATACACAGAGTAGTAGTAAAATGGTGTATAGTTGAAACAATTGAATGAATAGATTACATCATCAAGTTTATCAGCTAATTTAATATTATTGTGATTATTAAATTGACCATTGTTGATAATTAAATTAATACAATGTTTGAACCTTAAGTTACTCGCAATAGAGGTATTTTAAACGATTGCCTCACCATGTTCATGTGTAACATGTAGAATTGAAGTAGTCTCTACCATTACTAATTAATCAATTTTTGCATAATTTATTTTGTTGGATATACGACCTACCTAATTTTCTTGAGAAGGAACCTACTTAAAACAATAATGTAGGCGAAAGAAGACTAATTGAATAAAAATTCAATATGAATATTATTCCATAATCCAGCTCACACAATTTTTCTTTGGAAATGAAAAAATTCAGAATTTTTTTTTTCTACGATAACATTTAGTCATGAGAGTCATTTATCTTAATCGGTAACCTTTATACGGAGTAGTTTCTTTGTGTCTCTCCTTACTAGATCAGAGGAGAAATTTCGTTACCAAATACTGGTTGTTCTTATGTACTTGAAACTATATATTAATCAGGATTGGTGTAGGGCTTTTGGGCAAGTATTAAAGTAATAAAATACATATGCCAATTGCCAAGTATCTAAGTAAAGGGATATTTTGTACCCATAATTTGATGTTTAGGGGACATAACCCAAAGGTTTGGTGACCTTCCATGTGAGATCTAAATAATAACGTCTTGGACCACTATTTCATAACACCACCAAGAAAATAGACCAATTGATCTTCCCCCACCTTTTTTTTTCTAATAAAAAACCTTCAAGGTTGACTTTTTTAGTATTATGGTGAATGTATATTTGTATATAGTATTCCATATACAGAAGTACTGTATTATTTTCTCGATCTTTATTTGTTCTTACTACTCTGACATTTTGTATTTTATCGACGGTATATGAGTAATATGACTATATGTTATCTAAGAGCTAATCACTCTTATTAGGGTTATTATTACTCAAAATAGAAAACATCTTTGGTTACATACCAAGTAGATGTATACGATATTGTCGTAGTCCGTATATACATAATAACCTGATTAGTTTTTATTCGTACCAACTTTTGAAATTTTGTTGTTTAAAGTTTTAATTGCCTAAAATGCTCATAGTTCTCTTTAATTTACTTTTTACAGTATACCCCCTTCATTTTTAAATACTTGCTCCACTTTTCATTTTCGGCCGTTTTTAAATACTTGCTCCATTTCCTTCTTTGGAAAACTTTTACGATATTTAATTCATTTTTCAACTAGTGAACCCAACATGAATCATATTTTATTAATTTCATATTCTTTCTCCTCCAATTCTCTCAACTACTTTTGTTTTTACTCCACTACCTCCATATTTAATTTTTTATTCTTCCACCTACCCCACTACCTCCATATTTAATTTATTCTTCCACCTACCCCACTACCTCCATATTTAATTTTTTATTCTTCCACCTACCCCACTACCTCCATATTTAATTACTTTCTCCAATTTCTTCTAAAACTCCGCACATGGAGAAATGAAGCAAGTATTATAAAATGGAGGGAGTATTTCGTAAGTTACTTGTATCATACATTTTTTTTTAGAATTTTCCACACACATAGCATACAATAAGTACATAAATAAGTAGTACCTCAGCTCCGTGAATTGAAGCAGCCGTGATAAAGAGTAAACAAATGAGGCCCTGTTCTTTTGAGCTTCTGGGCAGAGCAGAGCAGGAGTCAGCAGAGCAAAGCAGATTTCAGTAGAGCAGAGCAGGAGTCAGCAGAGCAAAGTAGATTTCAGTAGAGAAGAGCAGGAGTCAGCAGAGCAAAGTACATTTCAGTAGAGAAGAGCAGGAGTCAGCAGAGTAGAGTAGAGCAGAGCAGATTTCAGTAGAGCAGAGCAGATTACAGCAGAGCAGAGCAAATTTCATTATTATTATTATTATTATTATTATTATTATTAAATATTAATTATTTATTATTATAATAATAATTCAATATTAATTATTATTTTTAAGCAGGTAGCGCAAGGCATGACTCACCAGAGCAGCTCTAAAGAACAGGGCCTAGTTAATTACAACGCCAAGCAACAACAATTGAGCAAGCAGACATATCATTTCATATTTTGTCTTAGTTGAGAACAATAATTAACATTGATATTCTTCGTCATTATATATGAATATGATCACAATTTAATTATTCACAAGTTGTACCATATAACAAATTATTGTACATCATGATATCTTATTGCTTCAATATTATCATAATTTCGTACATGAATTGAAGCATATATATATATACTTGCTCCTTACTTGATAATGTAGTACTACTTATATATTTGTTTGGACCACTATCTATTATTCTATATCACGTACAATAGCTGTTAACTTGTAGTTTTCTAGATCATTATTATGATAAATTTATGTATTCATGTTTTCTTTGACTATATCATGGTTTTTTCATGAAGCATGCTTAATTGCTAGCTAGAGCCGCCTAGAGCGAGGTGTATGTTAAATTAAACAACCATATTTGGCTATGCATGAGTTCCTTACTTCCACTATACTTGTATTGATTACGACGAACCTAGCTGCTATGCAAACAATCATCGATGCAAGCAGGTTATGCAACTTAGCTTGTGCCAAAATTAATGGTCAAAATTGTGCTAATCAAATTCGAACACAAATCAGTAAATTTTTTTCTTACATATAAATCACCCCAGAGGATGTAATAATAATAGATGAATGCATGTATGTAATAACTTCGAAATTCGTCTATTCATCTATCAAATCAGTTTTAATATGTAGTATTTGTCTTCTAATGCACGAGCTACAGAAAGCTTGTGACAACTCCTAACTCCCAAGGCAGTTGTTTAGGCCAAACAAGAGCTAAGTGATGTAACATATATGTACCCCCATGCCAGTATGCCACTACATATTTGGCCACTATAATATGATTCTTATCCAAAATGAAAGGGTTTTTGTTTATACATAATTAATTACACACACTAGTGATTTATTATATTAGTAATTTTATACGAGACACATACATAAATTACAGTAATGGTTAATTTCTAAGCAAAGGGTTCATTTCTTTTCTGTTATATAATATAGTTTGCATATTTCTCTATCAATCACATGTCGCAGGAAAATGATTGTACGAATTGAAGTATATAGTACGTACTCCGTTACACGTTGTACACACAGTTCAAATAAACATGTTATAGTAGTACTAGTAAAGTCTTGAGGTAGACTATTAAAGCCATTAGTAGTGGGAGAAGAGGTGCGCATCTCTAATTCAAGGCCCCTAGGAAAACCTTTCATCATTCACCACTTTAATTATGGGTTACCATATCTTGATGAGGCAAAGGTAATGATAGTCTATACAAAAATTACTTAATTAATTAAGCCTAATATAGTATTTTATGTTTCAAACTTTTGAAATTTGTGATTAATTTAAAATGTAAGAATATAAATTACATAAAGGTCAAACTTAGGACTAATCGAGGAAGATAGAAAAGCCATTATGGAAAGAATGGATTATCTTTCCACCTTTATAATATAGTAGTATAAACTATGGTGTAAAAATTATTTGCCTAAAAAAAATGACTATTGACAAGGATTCAAAGTAATGATTAGAAATGAACAATCTTGTAACACAAGGGAAATATGTACAATGGGCCACATTGTTCATTAAAGTTGTAACCCAATAATGGATCACAAATTCCTTGTTTAGAGCCAAAGTGGCTCCCAAATTCGGCTTCTTAAAATGATTATGAAAGTTACTAAAGCCAGCGTGTGTTTTATTTAATCATTCTTCCCCACAAAATATGTTCAAATTTTTTTATTTTTTTCCTATTGAGTTATGGTATGTATACCTTTCATTTACAAATAACATTGCAAGCATCAAGATTGATAAAATATACGAAAAATATTGTACTTTGTATCGGATTTTATAACGATGTTAATTAAATGCATAGCAATACGTACTAGTGTTACGTACTCTTGATTTTCAAATAAATATACTCCGTAGTAGTTTTCACAATTTTAATTTAAAGTACGAAATATATTGTTTGTGAAGCATAGCTTAACTTATATGATTTGTCGCTTAAATGATATACGTATGTGTGTATTACACTATTTATTACTTTCAAAATTTGCATTAAAAAAACTAACTAGGCTGTTCCTCTACAAGTCGCCAGTCAGCTATAGCAAATAAATAAATAATACTTCCTCCGATTCTATTTAGTTGACGCGTTCAATTTAGACACACATATTAAGGAGAGGAGAGAGAATGATAAAGCAAGTGGGGTACATTAAAATAGCAAGGTATGAAACTGACCTAAAAAGAAAACGTGTCAACTAAAAATAAATTTCTTAAAAAGAAATACATGTCAATTAAAAAATAACGAAGG